GCGAGGCCGTTAAGGAAGTCACAATAGCCAAATACAACCATTACAACGTAGTGGGTTCCGAATGCCGTCATACACGCAACAGTGGCCACAGATCTGTCAAGGCGGACCTAGATCAGAAAATTCGAGCTGCTGGTCCCGCTCGACCCGTTTAACTCGCCGACCACGCTCTGGCCAGCATGACCCGATAGAGCGCCGCACACCTGGATGCCCCGCCCGCCGACACGCCCAGCACCTCTCGCGCGCGCAAACACAGGATAGCCAGAGCAACCCACGGGAGCTACACTTCTGGTCCTGCCGACCCGCGCGCCTCGCGATTCGGCATCCCCAAGGCCCAGAGCTGCGAGGGCACGCGATCCGAACCGAGCCGGAGTGCCTCGCGGGCGGCACCTCGGTGTCCAGAGGTACGAGGATGCCTCGGAGGAGACAGGCTGGAGCTACGTTCGAGCGGTACCTCAGAGCCCAGAGACGGAAAAGGACTTCTCACCAAAAAAGAAGGCTCGCGCGTCTGGCGAACGGCATCTCGGAGCCCAGAATTAGCGAACACGTCTTGAACAGAACGAGCGGGAGCGCAACGGAAATAACATGGCACGGCTTCACAGATGTCCAGAAAGGGGCTAGGGGACAAAATGCGTAATCTCCTCTACCACCTCCTCCTACTCCTCCCACCAACAACCTTTGACCTCCTCCTCTTGGTCGCCGCTCCGCCTGCTTCGAAACCTCCTCATCCTCTCTTCCCTCGTCGCTTGTCCTTCTCTCATATCCCTCCTCCCTCTCCTCCTCCACTCAGTTCCACAGTCCACAGCCCAGAGTTGCGAGGATGTCTCAAATGAAACGTGCAACAGCGCCTAGCGAGCAGCAACTCAGAGCTCAGAGCTGCAAAGATGTTTGAACACAAAGAAGCCGAAGCACCTCGCGAACGGCAACACGGTGTTCATCAGAGTTGCGAGGAATGCTGAAGCGAAACGGGCCAGAGCACCTCGCGAGCAGCATCTGGGAGCCCAGAGTTGCGAGGATGCGTGAGCCGAGTCGAGCCAGAGCGCCTCGCGAACGGCGTCTCGGTGTCCAGAGTCGGAGTGTGTCTCAAGCCGAACGGGCAGGAGCGCCTCGCGAAGGGACATCTCGTAGCCCAACTGCGAGGATGCGTCAGCCGAGTCGAGCCGGAGCGCCTCGCGAACGGCGCCTCGGTGTAAATAATCGAAATATGTCTCAGGCAAAACGGAAAGGAGCGTCTCGCGAACAGTATCTCGGAGCCCAGTGGCGAGGATGTCTTGAACGAAACAAGCGGGAGCGCAGGGGATAAACCATAGCACGGCCTCACAGATGTACAATGTAAAGGGGATAAGCCACGAAACACCTTCTTCCACATCCTCCTCCTCCCCCTCCTGCTCCTTTCCCTCCTCCTACTCCTACTCCTACTCCTACTCCTCCTCCCCCTCCTCCTCCTTCTCCTCCTCCTCCTCTTTCTCCTCCTCCTCCTCCTTCTCCTCCTCCTCCTCCTTCTCCTGCTCCTCTCGCTTTGTGCCCCCGGGCTCCTCCCCCTGGCCCCCCCACCTCCTGCTCCGACTCCCTCTCATCCTCCCTCCCTACTTCTACTCTCTCCCTCCTCCTTCTCCTCTTCCACTCTGATCCACAGGCCACAACAAACTTACCTTGTGAGGTACCCAACCATTTCTATACATGTGGCGATTACACTCAGAACCACTCAATACTGACTGGCATTCTGAAGGACCCGCAGTGCGCAAGAAGAGCACCCAACAGTGATTTCAGAAGAGCGCAGCAAGAAGAGGAACAGCAACTATACAAACTGGAAACACAGGGGCGTTGAAAGAAACGCGTATGACGTACCTCCGAATGATCCACGTGGGACGTACCTCCGCTGGGCCTCCCAGGAGCCCACGAAAGTGGCGACAGTTGCGCAGATCCCAAGCCCCCAGGGGGCGGGAGGTCCCGAGGTGATCCGCGTGGGACTCACCTCCGCTGGGCCTTCCAGGAGCCCACGAAAGCGGCAACCAGGGGGCGGGAGGTCCCGAGGTGATCCGCGTGGGACCCACCTCCGCTGGGCCTCCCAGGAGCCCACGAAAGTGGCCTCCCAGGGTAGGGGGGGCGGGAGTGAAAGAGAAGAGGGCTGCAAGGAACAGGGGAGAGGGGGGGGAGAAGAGAAAGGCTGGCAAGGGAAAGGGGAACGGGAGGGGCCGAAGGGAAGAAGGGGGAGAGCAACCCACTTCCATGCCCAAGAGCTCGTGAAGACCAGAACTGCCCAATATGGTCCTCATGCTAGTCCGCCTGGGTCTTGCTGTGGGAGGGCGGGGAGAAAAACACGAGACGGCGTCGCAGATTTTCAAGCGACTGATCAAGGAAACTCGCATGAGCCTTCTCCTTGGACTGGCTGGGAAAATACGCGGCGCCTCGAGAATGCTGGGTGACTCCACAGGACGCGCCGGCCAAGCTCGCCCTCGCTCGCCCAGTGCGCTCCGCCCGTCCAATCGCCACGCCCCGCGCGGCCAAACTCGATACAAACCTGCAACCCAACGCCCCGCCCGCTCGACCCGCCCAGCCCGTTCGGCCCTGGCCCGCCCGACCCGCTCCGCCCGGGAGGCCCGCCCGACCCGCTCCGCCCGGGAGGCGGGGCCTGACACCGTCAAGTCCCGCTCGCCCGATCCGCTCCGCCCGCCCGACCAGCTCCTTCCGGTGGGTTCGCCCAGCTGGCTCGCGCGCCCGTGCCGTGGGAGATGGGACAGCGAGTCGACAGGCAGGGGGAGATAAGGAGGAAGGAATAGGCATGATGTATGCCTGCGCCTGGACTGATACACTTCCATTCGATTTCGAACCACTCCAAATTGGACAATTGAAACATGAAGAAACACTATTGTTGCTTGAAGTTGTTCCCAACCGTCATGCGGTGTTGGGTCCTCGTTTTGAAGCGACTGTCCCCGCGTTCCGTCCTCACTCCGCCTCCTCCTCCTCCTCCTCCTCCTCCTCCTCCTCCTCCCTCCTCCTCCTCCTCCTCCTCCTCCTCCTCCTCCTCCTCCTCCTCCTCCTCCTCCTCCTCCTCCTCCTCCTCCTCCCCCTCCACACTTCTGCTTTCCGCGTGGATCTACACGTTCGGTACACCCCGCACACGTTTCGGGTTCCCATGCGGAGCTCCACCGCCACCGAAAGCCCAGGCGGCAGGGTCCACGTGCATCCGCCCGACCCACGCCGGCACACCCCCCACACGCTTCGTGGCCCCAAAGGGAGCTCCACCGAAGGCCCCAAAGGAAGGGTCCACATGCGTCCGCGCGACTAATTTCAGCACGCCGCATCACACGCTTCGTGGCCCCACACAAGGGCCCCACCGGAGGCCCCAGCGGCAGGGTCCACACACGTCCGCGCGACCGATCTCGGCCCACCCTTCACACGCCTCGTGGCCCAAGGACCCCAGTGGCTGGGCCCACAAGCGTCCGCACGACTAATTTTGACACACCCCTCATTCGCTTCGTGGCCCCAAAGGGAGCTCCACCGAAGGCCCAGTGACGGGGTCTACATGTGCCAGCCCGACCCATTTCGGAACACCCCGCCACACGTTTACATGCGTCCGCCCGACTCATCTAGGCACACCGCTCACACGCTTCGTGGCCCCATGGGGAGCTCCACCGAAGGCCCCAGCGGCAGCGTCCACATGCGTACGCCAGACCCATGTCGACACACCCCTCATTCGCTTCGTGGCCCCATAGGGAGCTCCACCGAAGGCCCCATTGACAGGGCCCACATGAGTCTGCCCGACCCATTTCGACACACCACCCTTCACGCGCCTCGTGGCCCCATAGGGAGCTCCACCGAAGGACCCCCTGGCAGGGCCCACAAGCGTCCGCACGACAAAATTTCGGCAAAGCCCTCACATGCCTCGGGGCCCCACACGGAGCTCCACCGAAGGTCCCAGTGACGGGGTTCACATGCGCCCGCCCAACCCATTTCGGCACACCCCATCACACGCTTCGTAGCCTCCTGAGGAGCTCCACCGAAGGCCCTAGCGGCAGGGCCCACATGCGTCCGCCCGACGGCACACCCCTCACACATCTCGTGGCCCCACAGGGAGCACCACCGAAGGCCCCAGTGTCCCGGTCCACACACGTCCGCCCGACTCATCTCGGCACACCCCTCACACGCTCCGTGGCCCCATTGGCAACTCCACTGGAGACCCCAGTGACAGGGTCCACATGCGCCCGCCCGCCCCGCATCCCTCACACTGTTGATGGCCCCGCAGGAAGCTCCACCGAAGGCCCCAGTGGCAGGGTTCACACGTCCCCCCCCACCCTGTACAGCGTTTCGTGGCCTTGTAGACTGGCTCCACTGTAGGCTCCAGTGGCCGCGGCCAAAACAGCACTTCTTAGCCCCATCGGGATCGATCTTCACCGAATGCCCCCATGGCCGCGGCCGCAAGTTCCCTCCCACCCAGTACCACACGTCGTGGCCCCATTGGAAAATCCACTGAAGGCTCCTATGGCCGTGGCCGCGGGCACTGAAAGCTCCATTGGCGACGTTCGCGTGCGGAGCCCGGGCCCATTTCGGCGCACCCTTCACACGCTTCGTGGCCCAAAAGGGAGCTCCACCGAAGGCCCCAATGGCACAATTTGCATGCGCTCCGTACCACCACCGTTACGGCACACCTCGCGCGCTTTGTGGCACCGTAAGGAGCTCCATCGAAAGCGGTAACCACAACGCGGTATTCACAACTGCATATGGTCGGGTCCTTCGCCTGAGTTGTTGTCTACGCGACTCTAATATTTATTAGTGTTTCATATGTTTCAACTGTCAACCCGCAGATCTGGAATCAAGAAATTCAATTTTCAGACTTGAAATGTTCGCCGATCCCCTGGAAGAACTGAACGATTGAACAAGAGCTGTGGTTGTTCATGTTGATCATGCTTCGACACGGGCTCGACGTTCAATGTTTGCCGTATTTTGTAATTATTCCCCCTTCGCCCCCCCCACTCTAAATGCAACTCACGAATAACGATGTCCTTCACCTGCCTCTCCAAGGCATCGGCCCACCAGAGGCGCTCCGCCGCCAGGTCGTCCTCGTGCTTCTCCTCCAACGCGGGCAGGCTGGCCCTGAGGGCCTGGCCAGCCAGGCCTGGCGACTGGCGATGCGACATGCGGGCCCGCCGCAACGCGACGGCCCCTCGCCCCCAAGGCGCGGCCACGCAGATGCGCGCGCGGCGGGGGAAATGCTGCTGGCGCAGCGGGGGCTGCGCGCCACGGGGCGTCCTCGGCCAAAATGGCTGCTCCTCCTCCTCCTCCTCCTCTTCCTCCTCCTCCTCCTTCTCCTCCTCCTCCTCCTCCTCCTCCTCCTCCTCCTCCTCCTCCTTCTCCTCCTCCTCCTCCTGCGGAGGAAGGGCAGGCAGAGGGGGGGGGGGCGGCCGAAGCAGCCCTTACCTGCCCACTGGTTGGCACCCCAGCCCGTGCTGCATGGACAGACCGCGACGTCGTCTCTCGTCATTCCCTCGATTGGCCTCCTCCTCCTCCTCCTCCTCCTCCTCTCTCCTTCCTCCTCCTCCTCCTCCTCCTCCCCCTCCTCCTCCCCCTCCCCAGTCATGCAGGACCCCACTCCTTGTTGCCTCGCCAGCTGTGTCCCCTTGCCTCCCCCTCAACTTCGCCCTCCTGCGCGGGCCCCGATCCGACCACCCCCACAACAGGCTGCGAGTGGGGGCGCGCCCCATGCAATGGGTGCCTCTCATTGTCAGCCCCTCGGCTCGGCCACGACTCGCCCGAGGTTCTGTTCAACGGCGGCCCGCTCGCAGACATGACATGTTGGTCAACGATCTCAAGCGCCCCGACACGCAACACGCAACACGTAGCGTTTCGACACGACGCCCAATGCGTGTACACGCCGCCAAAACGTTGGTCAGCACGCTGAGCCAACACGCATCGTGTCAACATGGACGCTCTGAACACGGCACGCGCTGCGCTTCAGAACGGGCCGACCGAGGCAGCCAGTCGGTGACCCTTCTGCCACTCAGCTCCTTCAGGCAGCAGAAACGGCATCAGCACAAGCTATCGACGGTCCGCGCGGACTTCTTGGATCTGCGCTCGGCACCCTTCCCTGGCGCGCGGAGCGCGCCATGGGGCGGCGCCCAAACCGCCGCCCAGGGGCGGCGCCAGAACCGCCGCCGAGGCGCTACAGCGCAGATCCCACCAAAAAAAACGCCATGCGCGCTCCAGCGCCAGGGCGCTCCAAGAAATCTGCTTCTTCGTCCGAGGCTGGGCGAACGGCGATGTTGCCGAACGGTGATGTTGGGAACACCAAATTGTCGGCAATCACGAACCGCACTTTCCTACATACATGTCCTATCTGCGAATGGATCGGGCGAACCCGACACAGCGGGTTGCAGAAAAGCGCGAGCCACACGTTCCCACACGACCGAAACCTACATCGCTGTGACCTACGTCGCCGTTCGCCCGTCTACGGCCCTTCGACTCCCCTCTCCCGCAAAGCCCGCAGAATCGTTGAGAAGCCCCCGACCCTGGAGAAGAACGCTTTGGCTATTGGGGGCGCGGGGGGCGGAGCCCAGTCCCTCGAAGTCCGTGGGTCTTGATCCCGACGCTGGCCCAAAAACCAGACGAAGCCAGGACGAGGATGCAACCGGGTGAGGAAAAAATCGAGGATCTCGGAAATCCTCCCCCAGGGGGGAGAGGAGGACGAGGAAGAACCGGAACCGAACGGCGAAGCGCAAACTGCGAATCGCTCGGCGCGCTCGAAGGCGCCCTTGACGAGGAAGGCCAGAAAAACAACCACGGAAGCGGCGGCTCTGGAGGATGTCTCGGATGTCTCGCGACGCTGAGAGAGGGAGGGGGAGGGGGAGGAGGAGAAGGAGGAGGAGGGGGAGGAGGTGGAGGAGGCATGGCCAATCGTTTTCCCATCCGCCAGGACGGCCTCGTTCTGTGTAAGGATGTGCATTGTCCCCGAAGGAGCCCCTGGAGCGAGAGTTGTCGCAGACTTCAGAAACAGCTGCTGCACGGCGAACGCGGGGTCCTCGGAGGTGGGGGCGGGGCATTGCGCGCGCCGACGTGGCCGGGAACCCGCGCGCGGAAGCTCTCGCGCGCTGAAGCGGGCGCGGAGCCGCACGAGGACCCCCAGACCGGGGCCTTGGGTGGATCTCTCCGCGCCGCGCGCCAGGGGCGCGCCCTTCAAAGGCGGGGAGCTGCACGCGGACCCTCCCGCCGGGGGCCTTCGGCGGAGTCCCCGCGGGCCCTCGGAACGCGCGAGGGGCGGCGGGGGGGCGCGCGAGGGCCCTCCCACTGGGGCCTTCGGCTTCGCCCCCAGCTGGGCCGCGAAGCGCGCGAGGGGCGCGCCAGGACAGGGGCGCGCGGAAGGGGAAATGCAAGGGGGATGGGAGGAGAAGGGATGGGGCGGGAGCAGGAGTGGGGAGGACGAGGGGCGCCGCCGCTTCAAAAGGAGAATTGAACACCACAGTCTGGCAGGGAACAATCTCCGCGCGGGTGACGTTGTCGAGCGGCCGTCCAGACCCTGAGGCAGCCCTCGACGTTGATGGACTCGGGCACCCCCCATTCCGCCGGCTCGCGTGGCTCTGGCGACCGAACTAGCGCTGCATCGGTCGGCGCGGCCCTGACCTGGGTCGCGACGGCGAAGTGCGTCTGGTCAGGCGTCTGCCCGTCGGCGAGCCCACGAAGCTACATGCATCCGAAGGGCGGCCACCACGGGCTGCGACCGGGGAGCGGGCCGAGGAAGAGCTCGCACCTGGAGCCGCGCTCGCCCGCGACGGTTGGTGGAAACCAGCATCCCGCCCTGCATCAATGGAGGTTTTCCAGTTCGTCGCCAGACACCTCTATAAGTGGCACTTGCCGTCCAATTCGATCATCGCCATTAGCTCGTAGAACCCCAAGGGTATGAGGGGTCATGTGCCACTTGTTGGATGAAGCCGTAGACAAGGGAATCGCTGTGCGGACGGATGGCTCGAGCTCCCCTGGTGACGACGACGTCGGCAACGCAGCGCAATAGTGGCATGGCATCGCTGCCTTCGGCGATATTGTTGTTGTCGAACTTTGCGCAGAGGATGAAGTCGTGGACGTCGTATACCTCCTTGGCGTCGGTAGTACAGTGGATCTACTTTCCCCTCGGCGTCCCCGAAACCAGCCTTACTGTAGACTCGGACCATGGCCACCATGTCGGTACGCAAGGTTTTCGCCAACGCTTCTCGTGGATGGCTGACGCATGCTACCCTGAAATGCATGTGGCCGTTGTCTGCAAGTTCCCTAGTCCGCTCCCGCGATGGAAACGAGACTGGAGCACGCTCGTCTGGGATGGCCCTGCGAGGCCCATCCGTGCTGGTCCCGAATCGCACGGCTGTGCGGCAACATGGAGCCTGGGTGGGTCGAGCCAGCCAGTGGGAAAAAAAAGCCTTGCCAAGTTCCCCGCCGCTGCAGCTGCGCGTGGAAAAGGTGGCGATGGCGTGGTTGGCGAATGTGTTGGCCTCGTTCTTTCATGTTCTGGCTGGTGGCCCCCAACAAGCCCGATGCATAGCTGCGTTTGCACAGCGCCTCCACGCATCCACAAGCAGTGCTGACTGGGATGGGCACCAGGCCGACGTCGAGGGCGATGTAGATGCGCTCGGTGGCGAGCATGGTCGAATGCAGTGTCAGCTGGGCGCCCTCCTGGTACTCGTGCCGATGCGGCTGCGAAGCTGGGAGGGAGCCGTCGGTCGGCGGGCGGCGGGCAGTCGAGTACGGCTTCGGCCCGAGCGCCCGCGTTGGAGGTGGATGGCGCGTACTTGATGTTGCTGCTGGAACTCCAGTGGGGCGTCGGGGGGGGGGGGAGACCTCGCGTCCAAGGTTCTGTAGGTGGTTGCCTCGCTCGGCGTTCTGTGAGCGGTGGTCCTTGGTCCAGTGGTCGCTGCGGCTGAGGCGTGCTGAGCCAGGGTGATATCCGCCATAATGTTGAGCATGATGTAGCCGATGGTTGCGTTCCATTCGTCGCGCTCGTCTGACAGCGCCCTCCATGAAGTCGAGAAGGCGGCTCCATGAGACGGTCGGAAGTTGCATTGCTGGTGCACGCCGGGCAGCGTGCCCCAGATGCTCTGCTGGCAGGACGAGGCAAGCCAAAATCAATCGAGCCAGAAGCTTGAGCCACCTCCTCCTCCGCCCCCTCCTCCTCCTCCTCCCCCTCCTCCCCCCTCCTCCTCCTCCTCCTCTCCTCCTCCTCCTCTCCTCCTCCTCCTCCTCCTCCTCCCTCCTCCTCCTCCTCCCTCCCCTTCCTCCTCCTCCTCCTCTCCTCCTCCTCCTCCTCCTCCTCCTCCTCCTTGTCTCCTCGTCTCTCCTCCTCCTCCTCCTCCTCCTCCTCCTCCTCCTCCCTCCTCCTCTCCTCCTGCTCTGCTCCTCCTCCTCCTCCCCTCCTCCTCCTCCTCCTCCTCCTCCTCCTCCTCCTCCTCCTCCTCCTCCTCCTCCTCCTCCTCCTCCTCCTCCTCCTCCTCCTCCTCCTCCGTCCGGCTCGGTCCAGCCAACCGCCGCGCCCAGGCGGAAGAGAGGCGCCTGCACGCCATCCTCGGGCCCTCCGCGGCGGCGCCGTGGGCGTCGGCAGCGGCCTTTTGCGGGCAGCGGTCGGACGAGGAGGGCGAGGAGGTGGAGGAGAGGAGGAGGAGGAGGAGGAGGAGGAGGAGGCGGAGAGGAGGGAGGAGGAAGGAGGAGGAGGAGGAGGAGGAGGAGGAGGAGGAGGAGGAGGAGGAGGAGGAGGAGGAGGAGGAGAGGAGGAGGAGGAGAGGAGGAGGAGGAGGAGGAGGAGGAGGAGGAGGAGGAGGAGGAGGAGGAGGAGGAGGAGGAGGAGGAGGGAGGAGGAGGACGAGGAGGAGGAGGAGGAGGAGGAGGAGGAGGAGGAGGAGAGGAGGACAGGAGGAGGAGGAGGACGAGGAGGAGGAGGGGGAGGAGGAGGAGGAGGAGGAGGAGGAGGAGGAGGAGTAGAGGTCATCCACTACGGCTGGCGGCAGCTGAGCACGCGGTTCCACCTCGG